AGCGCAAGGAGACCGTGGACTCCTTCCTGGACCTCGTCAGGTAGGGGCGCGCGCGCATGATGACAGAGCCGGCCGCGTTGCGTGTGCCGGGCCCCTTCCTCCTCCTCCTCCTCCTCAGCGCCCCCGGCGGCCGGCGTCGCGTGTCCCCCCAGCGCTTTGTCTTCACTGCTTTGTTTTCAGCCCCTCTTGGTGCTCCCCACACACCCCCCAACCTCTGGGGGGCCCTTCCCGAGCAGCCCCCCCTCGGGGTGCTCCCTGTGTCCCCAGCAAGGGTGTCCGCTGGGCGCGGGAGCTTCCCGAGCAGATTCCCTGTGCGCCATCCAGCACGAGGGTGTCCTGCGGATGTGGGAGCTTCCCGATCACCTTCCCTGTGCTCCATCCCACATAAGAGTGTCCTGTGGATGCAGGAGCTTCCCGAGCATATTCCCTCAAGGATGCTCCCTATGTCTGGGACAAGGGTGTCCGCTGGATGCAGGAGCTTCCCGATCACCTTCCTTGTGCTCCATCCCACATAAGAGTGTCCYGTGGATGTGGGAGCTTCCCGAGCATCTTCCCTCAGGGATGCTCTCTGTGCCCTGTCTGGTGTGAGGATTCCCGTAGGATGCAGGGGCTTCCCGAACATCTTGCCCTCCAGGATGCTCCYGGTGCCCCATCCGCAGCCAAACTCGCCTTCCCTAAAATTCCACAAACATCCCTCTGACCTGCTGAGCACCCGGCTTCTCCCGGCGGCCTTTCCTGCTTTGGGGAATCTTGGTGCAGCACCCCAAGCATGCAGGGCCCACGTGTGCTGCTACCTGGGATCTCTCCCTGCCCCTTTCCCATACCCCTTTCCTGGGGTGCTGCGGGAGAGTGAGGGAAAACTGGGGAATTCCAGCGTGCCGGCTGCCGAGCGGCGTGGAGCAGGGATGGGATGGGATGGGATGCAGCAGCAGGAACAAGCGTGGATGTTTACCTGAAACTTCAGGATCCCGGCAGTTTGACCAAATGTGAGGAGATTACGAGCCAAAACCTGCGTCCTCTGCAACAGCTGGGTTGTGCGTGGCGGGTTTCGTGGTGATTGCTGTTTTTCTTGTAATTTGCCTGTTTGCTTTGCTTTTATGTGCTTAGGGCCTTTTATTATTATTTTTTTATTATGCTTTATTGTTTCTGGATGGAGAGGWTGAAAGAGTTTATGTTTTTAAAGCAGCGTGTACTTACAAATGCCCCGGGGGCCGAGCGGCAACCGTTTGTGTTTCATTCCCAGCCTGACAACTTGTGCACTACCGGGGAGGAACAGGAAGGTGTGAAGGTGACTTGGGGTCCCTATGAAGTGTGGGCAGATGAAGGAAAATTGCAGGAGGAGTYGGTGTGGGAATTGTGCGTGACCGGCTCGGGAAGCCGCTCGTGTCCCTGCAGTGTCCGGGAGCCAAGCGCAGCGAGTTGTGGGGTGAAAAGGCTCCGGAGCCCTCGTCCCCACGGCATAGCCCCCTTTGGAGCCTGTGGGGCTTTCCCTGAGGCGGATCCTGCAGCTTTTCCGGGAGCTGTGGGCGCTCCAGCTGGCAGCGCCCCAGCAGYGGAATCCGCTTGGGAAGAGATGGGTTTGGACACGGCGCTCGTCGTGTCCCATGTGCCAGCGCCTCTCGCATTCCCTGCGTTCACCCAGACCCCTGACGGGCGCAGGACGGAGGCAATACCCTCCCTACACCCTCCTCTCTCGCGCTTTTGCTCTTTCTTGGCTTTATTTTAGTGGTTTTGAGGTTGCAGGTGTTCTGGCTTGGGCACTGCAGCTGYTCCCTGGACCGTGCCACGTGGCTGAAACCTCTTCCCTATCAGCGTCCTCAGGAACGAGGGGGCCGCCGAGCCCTGGGCACGTGGGGTTTTGCAGAATCCTGCCCGTGGAAACACCACATGGACACCAGGAAGAGCAGGGAGTCCTTTCCCGGGACGCAGAGCCCGTCGGCTGCCGGGAAGTTCAAGTTTGGGATGCGCCGCCTGTCCTCGCCGCAGCAGCGCGCGGAGGTCGCTGCTCCTTGGCCGCGCTTCCCGTTTCCCGRCGTGGCGCTTGCACGCGAGCACAGGTCTGCGCCGGCACGCGTGGCCTCTGGAGAAGGGATTCGCCCCGGGCGTCGTTAGCAAACGGTGACTCACTGGATAAGGAGGGGAGCGCCTCGTTCCATCCCGTGACAGCCRCCCGGTCTGCCTGTCCCGCCTTGGAGCAGCCCAGTGTTCTCCGGAGCATCGGCCCAAGGCGCCCGATCCCGCTGGGAATGCCCGTGGGGAGCACGGAGGCAGCAAGGATCACGGTTTGGGAATCACAGGGGCACACGAGCCGCACGCGAGCTGGTGCGCGGCACCAAGATGGGAATTTTTTGAAGGAATCTCTCAATTTGCACCACTTGCCRGCACTTACCACCCTGCCAGCGTTGGAGTTTGTCTTGTCTCGGGTCTGTATTTGCTGATGAAACCGAACTGGGCAGTTTCACAGCAACCTGTTGACTCTGCTGAAGTTTCCGACGGCAGATGAGGCTGGCATTGCATTTCGGTGAGGTCAGTGTTTTGCTGTAATGTCGCATAAAAAACCAAGCGGGAAACTCCATTCACCAAAAAGAAACATCTCAACAAAATATTTTGGTATTTTTCACTGAGAAAAAAAGAAAGAGAAGACTGAGGCATTGGCTTTCTTTGCCCTATTTGGGGATGAAAACATGTTTTGAAGCTGTGGGAAGGGAATTCTGTTTTTCTGTCTGGCCCCGGCTGGAACGGTCTTGGAAGGGAGTGAGGAAGCATCATCCTGGTGGGAATCTTGGAATTCTCCCTGCTCCTCTCTTTTGGGCCTTTTACTGACAGTGCTGACGGGACTGTTCAGACCCCAAAATATCGAGTATCAGCTATAAATGATTGCACATTTAAGTTTCTGTGGGTTCACCATCATGCACATTGTGATGCGTCTGTGTGAGGGGATGTCTCCTATGGATCCACAGATAGGTGAAAAAGCAAATTCCTTCAAGGAAAGCCCAGCTCAGAGTAACTTCACTGACAGCACAGATAACCCAACGCCAAACATTATTTCTAACATTCAAGCACGTGGCCCAGGCATCCAAAAAATGCATGTTTTCCAACGGCAACATCTGGGGCCTCTGGAGCGGGATGTTTTAGTGAGAAGCATGGGAAGGGGAACGCGTGGGATTTTAAGATTTCCCTTCCTGCTTTTCCCACAGCTGTGGAAACATAGGGAGAGGAAGAAGGGAATTTGCCGGCGCTGCTTCAGTTTGGGGCAAAATCCTGCCTTTTCTGGTGCCGCAGGAGCGCTGTGGCAGCGCCCAGCCCTGTGCTTAAGGGTGTGAGCTCTCAGKTAGTGCTGGGTGAGCAGGGCCCTGGGTAGGCCTGGGTTTACTGAGCGCGTCTGAACCCTGCAGGTGCCAGTTGCGTTGGCTTCAGGTGGCTCCCTTTGGCTTCTTCTTGCTAGGAGAGGAAAGCTGATTTTTTTCTTTTTTTTTAATAATTTGATTTCTGGGCATTTTTCCTGTTTCTTCAAAATTCAGTCAGTTTTTCTAAAAAAAGGGGTAATCACCCAGAAATGAAAAGTTGAAATGTTCAGATTTTCCTAACAGCTTTCATTTCATTTCATTTCATTTCATTTCAATAAGTCCTATGCACTGAGCTCTGCCCTTTCAAAAACAAACCATTTTACTTTTACAGGAGTTTGCTCTTGCTCTAAGTGAGCTCTGTATCTGTCAGAAACTTGCAGTTGTGAAAGAGCTGATAGGTGTTAGCTCTTCCCTTCGAATTACCCCACTGATTTTTAAGCATCTTTGCAGGGTTTGAGCTATTTCTGCTCTTTTTAGGTGGCTCCGAGGAGAAAAAGTCGCCCTTTTTGGTGCTCGGGGGAATATGGGGCTGGGAGTCCCATTATTCCTGGAGCAATTTGGCTTGCACAGCTTCCTCCCAGGGCACTTGTAATGCAACGGGGAGCTTGCAGCAGCCTTGGCGAGGGCTCTGCGCGTGAAAACGCAGCCAAGGCTGTGGGAAAACACCCGGTGTGTGGCAGGATAACCCAGCTAGGCAAAGTAAAAGGCCTTTATCGGGGGCATATCTTAATCTTTAATGAGCCCCTGGCGCTTTTGCTTTCAGAGATTGCGCTCGGCTGCTCCTTTGCTCCGTGTGCTTGGGATTCGCCGCTCTCCGGGAAGGATCGCGAGCAAAAGCCTGGTTTAAAAGCGAATGCACCGGGATGACTAAAGCAAAGCAGGTGAAAGGGAAGCGTAGCTGCTTCTGGGCCCCTTTCAGCACCGTGCAGGGAGCAGAGGACGGGGAGCAGCTGCCCAGGCCCTTTCTGCCACTCTCAGTGTCTCTCTGGAAGCCCTTCCTTTTCCTAAGAACTCAAGTTTATCCCAGGTCCTGTCACCTGCCTGTGTTCTCATGTGCCATCCCGGGCCTCCCTGCCCYCTTTATCCTTTATCCTCCCATGCTCTGTCCCCTCGACCTGCCCCTGTGCTCAGCTTGATTTCTGCACGAAACCCTCCCGGGTTCAGGTGCTGCAGCTTTCCAGCCATCCCTGTTCCCATCCACACTTTTCCTGCACCACGGGGAAGTCATCCYGGCTGCGACGAGGGATCCCCTTCTCCTAAGGGGGTTTTGCCGGTTGCATTGCCCCTCGTGTTYCTGCTCCGAGCAAAACGGAGCCGAGACACAGACCTCGCTGTGCCAGGGCGTTTGCCTTTGCAGAAAGCATCCAGAAAGCCACCATGGCGCGTTGCTTTCCGAAGCTCACCGGGGAATATTCCCTCCTCTTGCTTTTTGTTTCCACAGAAACCTGTTTCCTGCGAATCTCGTGGCTGCAGCTTTCCGAACGGTGAGTCGTGGGCGGCGTTTTGCACGGGGGCGGCGTTGCTTGGCGCGCCGAGTGACTGCTGCCTTCCCAGAAAACACCCGGCAAGGTGGGCTGCAAAATCCCAAAAAGGGGGATTTTCAGATAACACCACTGGGAGATGGTGTGAACTTATGCACGGGAGCTCAGACGCTCAGGGAGGGTTCGGATGCAGTTTCTCATTGCAATTATCGGCACCAGGGATAGGCATTATTAGGATTCTACTGTGGGACAGAGCCATTATTTTTGATACAGGAGCGGAGAAATYGTTTTATTTCTAAATTTATTTTTCTATCAAGAACAAGGTCTTGTCCTGAAATTGAGCTCTGTTCTGAGCGTCCCTGTAATGCAGGACAAGTCGATATACCAGCGACAGCACGAATAATAGAAGCGGTGTGAAAGTACCCACAAGGGTGTTCTGGGGTGCCTTGGATCTCGGGGTCTGTGTGTGCAGGGATGAACTCTCTGCCTTGGAGAGCGTCAGGCGCCTCGAGCTCTTCTCTGCTCATTGGCCTGAATCAGCTGAATTGTGCCTCTATTTCTAGTGAAGGAAAATTTCACTAGAAATGTGTCTAAATTCTAAAAAAATGTGTCTAAATTCTAAAAAAATGTGTCTAAATTCTAAAAAATGTGTCTAAATTCTAAAAAAATGTGTCTAAATTCTAAAAAAATGTGTCTAAATTCTAAAAAAAGTGTCTAAATTCTAAAAAATGTGTCTAAATTCTAAAAAATGTGTCTAAATTCTAAAAAAATGCGTCTAAATTCTAAAAAAATGCGTCTAAATTCTAAAAAATTCTTCTATTCTCAAGCCTTCTCTTTCCACATCTGGGCGAGCTCGGAGCAGTTACGCGGGCAGCGTTCCCTATGAATGCGGAGGCAGCGCCGGGCTTCCCTGTCGCCCCGTGGTGAAGGAGCTGCATCCGCTCTCCATGCCTTTCCGTATGCGGGACGAGCTCAGCAGCCTCCCCATCCCCATCTCCAGTCCCTGTGTCCTGTGTCTCGCCCTTCGTGTTTCATCAGCAGCTTCACCTTCAYGTTGGTAGTGTCCTCTGCACCGGCTCGGATGCCCCTCGCACGTCTCGCTCTTGATGCGTTCAAGGTTCAAGCATGTGTTTCAGCTCCTGCTTCCATTGTAGCCTCAGCTGCAGGGAGAAACTGTAGGAAAGGAAGGAAAAAGCCTTCCTGACAGTCCTTGTGAAATGTTAAGTGGTCCTCTTGGTAATCTGGTTAGCAAACATTGTGTTGTTTTTTCTTGCCTGCAGTATGCGACAGACTACAAGATCCTGAAGAGAAACACTACCTCTGGAAATGTCACGCTGGAAAAGGTAAGGCCACCCGTTCTCGTGTTTTATACAGTCTTTGTTAACCACAATATTTGACTCTACCAGCACTTACTGGAAGGAAGCAAGTGCTGCCCTCCTCGTCCAGCTGGGACACACACAAACCCAGTGGAGTAGTCTTTAGGCACACAAGTAAGCTGTGGTGGAAAGGCAGTTAAAATCAACTGAGCTCACCCTTGATAGCTTGCATTTAGGCCTTGCTTTCTTAGGCCTGGTATCTCTTGCCCTAAATTTTGATTCATCTCTCTGCCCAGTATTTCTAAAAGATTTTCTGTAGACTTGGAATTAAGTGACAATCAGACTGGCCTGCGTGTGTCCCTTAGACCTTATTCTCCATTCCAGTCAGGAGAGAATGATTTTCGTCCCCTGCCTGTATTCTTTAAAGGAAAAGAAGTTAGCTGGGCTTCTTTTCTAGTTACCTTGCTGCTGAAGTTTAGTTTGACTTGAAGCAGGGGTGGGAGTTGCAAGCAGAAAGTTGCGGATAGCCCCTGTGCAATGTGGCCACACCRAAACTTTATTTGCAGATGTTGCTGAGGTGGAAAGCTGTGTTTTCCCCGTGTTCCTCTGAAACCCTTCTGCTGTGTGGGGCTGTCAGACGTCTTTATTTAATGGGCCTAGCAAGAATCACAGTCTCCTTAGAGTCAGCACATTATGAACTGGAGAGACCCAACTGTAGCCTGTCATCTTATTCCAAATGAATTATCCCATGTGATTTCAGGGAGGCAGGTCTGACGCTGGGAATGGCCTGCAGCGTTGTTTTGTATTTCTCAGGCTCATTCTGACTTCCTGGGATGAGTACTGTAAGTCGGGTTAATATTTTTTAATGTGATTTATATGTCCCGAGGGCAAGAGACTGGTCGGTTTGTTAYAGAAAAGCTCGGCCAGGGCCGGCAGTTGCAGTAGTCTGTGTGAAACGAACAGATGAAAGGCAGTTCATGTGCAGCTGGGAGGACCGAAGCAGGTCCTGGTCATGGTGCCTGCTGCTCCTCACACGCATGTGGTGCAGAAAGCTCCATTTCCAGACCCCCTTTTTGGCTCRTGGACTGCACTTTCCCCATCCCAGGAGGGCAGAAGGTGGCTTGGATGGAGCAGGAGCTGAGCAGGGGAGAAGTCAACCTGCTCACACACCACGAGCTGTTTCATGGGGAGGAAGGAGGCCCCATCCACCCAGGACCTGCCCACACTTGTAGGGTCGAGTTCGCCCCGATCTGCACCCGCTGTGTGGTGAGCACGGGCACGAGTGCAGGAGAATCACGCGAACCAGGAGGCACTGGCTGCTCCGATGCCACGGAGCTCCCCGGGCGGGACGTGCCCGTGCAGCCTCGCGCTGCCAGAAACAAGTCGACATCAAAGGCCAGGACRGCCCAGAAGTGGGGAATTAGTCTTCCCTTTCATAGTCCTCGTTCTCAGTGAGGTGCAAGTCAGGTCTTTCTTACTCCTGCCTAGTGTGGAATCTGTCAGGAGCTGCGTGGCAGGCAGGGACAGGTCAGGGCTCACCACAGCCATTGGGAACGGGTGCCAGCTGCAATGTGCACTTTCAAATGCTCTTTCAAAGCCATCATTCTTCCTCAAGAGGTAAGGATGGATTGTTTTTTTTGACAAGTTAAATTGTGAGCTTTTTCCTATTTCTGACTTATCAGCGTTTGATGAAATACTTCAAAAAAAAAAACCCCACGTTGTGAATTTGTCACTGGTGTCTGTTTTTGCCAGTGGCTATGAAATAAAGGCTGTTTCTCCAATTACTTTCCCAAAACAGTTTTCAGTTGTTGGAACCAAGCAAGAGCTGAACTTCTTTAGTGCCAGAAGACGCCCTGTCGTCTCGAGGGAGGAGCAGGTCCGACCAAAAGGAGGCATCATCTGAGCTTTGCTAGCTCAGTTTCAATGCCAACCCGACCATATTATTTATGGATAGATGAGGATTAAGTTTGGAGCAGAAGACTCTGGTTTTTGGATAATCTATAGTATAAATACCATAGTGATAGTATGCTCTCATGTTTTCTTTCATCAGCAGAGCATTTGATTGAAGAGGAGAAATGTTTTTCTCCTGCTTTTGATGTGAGTAGTGGAGAGCAAAGGTTTCCACTGATGTTTTCCCACTGTTTAGTAGGCTCCGGCTTCTCGTGCTGACCCTGTGAGTAGTGGGGCACGTTTACTGTATTGTTTCATGCTCTCCCTCCTGTTTACCCAGCTTTTATGGCTGCATCCTCCCCGAGTCTTGGGCAGCGTGTTTCCTGGAGCGAGGGCTATCTTTGTTCCTCATCTGCAGCTAAGGGAGCTTGTAAGGGATTCCTGGGTCCCCATGTGACAGCGGTGACAATATACACACCAGGGACTACGCTTCACGTGGCTGCATTTCCCTTTCAGCTACCTGCTGTCAGCGGTTGTATCCCGCATAAGCATTTTCCTTCAAGAGCCAAAAACCAACAGATTCTTCCCAGAGATTCAGGGACCAGAAGAGATCCATGAATCTTCCTCCCGGGACACGCAATTTCAGGCAAAATAATAATGTGTCCTGCCACTTACCCGGGAAAAAAGCTCTCGTCAAAGCTGTTTTTGTGCGGCGTCCACAATGCTGCTTGGTTTGGCAGTTCCCTTGGGGTGATGCACTCTTGTGTTGGAGCACAAAAAGGCTGTTCAGCATCTGCCAGTTTTAGAGGCCGGGATTGAGAGGATCTTCCGCTGAGGATTTAATGCTTGACTTTGTCCGTATTTTGCTGCAAGGAGGTAAAATCCCGTGCATGCTCAAGGTTGCTCCCTGCAAATCAATGGGCCAATTCCCTTTAATAAGTTACTGCTCCCTCACCACCGGAATCTGTGGTGATAGTAAAATGGGAAGAGGGGAACAGCTAAGAGATTTTTAGGGGCTCTGCATGGAGTCTCTTGTTTTCTTATGTAAAAATATTTACACTTTGCCCAAGTTGACWTTTCTGAAGGAAAATTTTAAGTGACACAACCTGGCAGGAAATTTTCAAACATTATTTTAGTAGACATTTTCTTGCTTCCTGCTAATGAATTCATCACAGAASTTGAGAACCTACCTGGGTTGTTTCTGATATGTATGTCGTACTGGTAAACCCTCACTGAAACTCCACGTCTGTTTTACTTTTGAAATAAGACTGGCTTGAATTTATTTCCTATCCTGGAGTGGTTTTGCTAAGGGAAGTGAAAAGTAGAAAAAACAAAGCAGTTATAAAATAAGTCGAGGGTTTTCAGCCACAAAAATAAGAGTAACGGCAAAACCATCCAGACAGAAAAGTGTTGCTGTACGTGAAGAAAGAAGCCTATTTCTTCAGACTTATTTGGAGATAAACCGAGCCCTGTTGTTAATATCCTCTCCATGTTTCCAGGTCTTTCACTAGAGAGCGGTGAAAGAAGTGAGAAGAATTTATCCCAGAACAAACAACTGCCGTGAATAAAAGGAAAATTTTTGTATCTATCTAATTATATTGCAGCTAACAATTAAAAAGGCTGGAAGCTTCGTTGCTTTCATCCTCGTGAACACTTTTGTTAACGGTATTTTAGCCACCATAATGTGGTTGGGTTTTTTCTCAGTGTAATGTATGTTTTACCCTCTTCTATGCAGCTCTTTGCCTCCACACGTCATTAGGAAAGGACGACTCAGGTCAGCAGTTTATTTCTAGATAAAAATATTATCTCAGAAACACTGCAGTGGATCTGTGCCCTGAGGCCTTTAGTCGAGGCTCATTTTAGGCTTTTAGCTCAGGGTGCCTTTTCACTTGCTCGTGGTGAGCTAGCGTCTGCTCAGACTGGCTACAAGGCCCAAACTTGTCCACAGACCTAATCTGTTCAAGAAAATCTTCCAAAGAAAACACAAATTTGGCACGCTGAGCTTGTGCGGCCGAGCTGGGGAGGGGAAACGAGGCTCGYCTAAACAATTGTATTTTTATGCAGCCACAAGAATGCTCCCCAGTGCCTGTGACATTGCTCGGCCAAACAAACTCCAGCCCTTTGGAGAAGGGAGCAGGAGAGCAGGCTCCTCAGCGCRACGGCTGGATCCTGGGTTTATCCTCTTACTGGTACCATTTAGTCACACAGTTTCTAGGACGGGGAGCAGGTATTTCCTCTCTTCTCCCCGTTTCTGCCACGGCTGTTGCAAAGAGATGAATTAGTTCACCTGAATTTCACAGCTTGCCCTCYTTTCCTTTGCTCTTTCCACTTAACGACACTGTTTATTTTCGCYTGGTTTTCACCATAGTATAAATATTCCATTAAAGCAAAGGGGCTGGCAGTTTCYGAGAGCTGTGTTTGGGGCCAGACCACTGAAAGCAGCTTGTGCCTATGGTTTGTTTTAGGAGGTGGAGGATCATAGAGCATGCAAGGAAATTTGCTGGAATCACCGAATTTGGCAATTTGTTTCACCAACAGCTGCRGCTGGTACCTGCAGTCTCTTCCAGACAACCTTTCCTTGCAGGGAAACAGTGGGGAAACTTGCAGGCTTTTAACCACTGTCCAAGTWTTGTCTTTTTCCTGTGTGATTTTTCTTGGTGCAATGGATCTGCTGGTTCCAGATCAATCAGAGAGCATCCCAAAGATGGACCTGTCTCCCACCTAACAAACCTGCTGCTTTTCTGTCTCCGCAGATCCCTGTTGGCACTGAGATCGAAGGGATGAATATCCTCGGGCTCGTGATGTTTGCCCTGGTTCTAGGAGTGGCGCTGAAGAAGCTTGGCCGTGAGGGGGAAGATCTCATTCGCTTCTTTAATTCATTCAATGAGGCAACTATGGTCTTGGTGACTTGGATTATGTGGTAGGTGCTTGAGTGCGGACACAACTGGTGGGACAGTCGCGTCCAGCTCGGGAATCTTGCCCTTTGCCTGCCTGTGCGTKTGCCACGTCACAGCCCTGCTCACAGCAAGAGCAAATGTTGTGTTGTTTATTCCGGGTTAGTTCCTGGGCTGGCTGGTGTGAGCGAGGGAAGAACGTGGTCGTTGCAGAGTCACCCTGCTGCAGGAGCGGGACTCCCTCCGCCTGGTCCTGTGGATCTTTAAATCTCTGCTCCTGTTTTCCCTTCCGTTTTCCCGGGTGAAGCAGGAACCATTGTTACTAGCCCAGAGTTTAGCTGTTTATTTAGGACTTGCTTTTCCAGGGAACGTCTCTCTTCAGAGAAGAAAGAAGCAGTTCCCCTGCTTTTCCAGGGGAACTTTTCTTCTTCTCTCTTCCATTTCCTTTCCCCGATACTAGGAATTTTAGGATACCAGGAAAACAGTCATAAGGCCAGCTACTTAATAAATTAGCTATAACTTAATTATAACTATATAATTAACATTTCTCTGTCCCTCTTCCAAACTATGCACTTTCCTTGATGAAAGTAGGTTTTTTTTTTTCCCTTATTTTGTGTTTTTTGCTCTTGCTATTTCCCCCTCCCCTTTAGAAGCATAAAGTTTCTAACAAACCACCTCATTTCACGCAGGCCCCTCTGTGTTAGTTACTGCCATCAAGGTTTGAGAAATTAAAGTCTAAAAGCAGCTTACGCCGTTTGCTCCGGAGTGTAATTCCAGGGCCAYGGATACTGATAAGCGGCGCTTCTCGTGCCCAGCCGATCACGGCGCTAACRCTTGGGGCCCGTCAGCTGCTGCGTAATCCCTTCTTTGAGGATTATCAGGAGCACGGTGGGCTCCAGCACTTAGTGGCCCTTGGTCCTTCTTCACGGCTGTCCCCGCGTGCTGTGGGGTGGCCGGCACCGGGCTCCGGGCTCGTGTTTGGCGCTTGAACGGAGCAGCTCCGCGCGCTCCTCGCGAGAGGAACCCCAAGCGAACGCTGACGTCCTGAGACACGTGTTCCTGGATAGGGGAGGAAGGAATGCGGCGTCTGGCTTGAGGGAGGCCCTGGAAACTCAATCACTTAATCTTTCTTAGAGAAGTGGCAGAGGTAATTGCTTGCTTTGGCGTGTGCATTAACAGCCTTTAGTGAAGCTGTCTGCCAACGATACGGGCCGGACTTTATCTTTCCTGCTTGGAATGTGTTGGCGTGCAGCAGGTCTGCCACTTCAGTGACTGCTGCTGCTCCCGAGCTCTGTAGTGTCCCATCYTCAGTACCTTGCTCAGCTCTGCGATACTGCTCCTCCTTCTTGCCCACCATCAGCCTCCTCTTCAACAGCGACCTACTTAACGTTGGGTCTTTGCCCACCCCGATGGACTAAGCTCCACGCCAGTGTCGTGTCCTGATGGCTTCTGCCAACATTTCAGCTCCCAGTTTGGATCCTTTCTGCTGTGTCCTCGGGGTCTCTTGGAGGCCATGGGACAGTGGGAGGTTTCTCAGCCTGGCAACTTGCCTTCCACCAAGTGAGAGGGTAGGAAGAGCCTCGCAAATTCACATAACATGAGTGTGTGGCGAGGAAAGCGCTGCCCTTCAGCAGGAGCAGCACATTCTTTGGAAAAATGTAATCTGTAGCAAAGAAAGCAGCGTGTTTTTCATGGCTTGGTTTTCGTGCTTAATGACCGGCCATAATTCTTTACGCAGGTATGTTCCTATTGGCATCATGTTCCTCGTTGGGAGCAAGATCGTGGAGATGGAAGATGTTATGCTTCTGGTGACCAGTCTGGGAAAATACATCTTTGCCTCTATTCTGGGCCACTTCATCCATGGAGGGATCATTCTGCCGCTTATTTATTTTGCATCCACCCGCCAGAATCCTTACCGCTTTCTCTTAGGACTCGTCACACCGCTTACCACTGCTTTTGCCACTTGCTCCAGGTGAGCTTCTTTTGGGAATACAGCCTCGTTGTCTTCCTGATTGCATCCTAACACCACACTGCGATGGGTTTTAGGGCTGGGATTAGATTGGGATTCTGAGTTGGAATTTTTTCATGCAGAGGGTGGAAGTGTTTGCCTTAAAGATCCTGCTGGTTGTCCCTTCAGTTTTAAGTAACAACTGATGGTCAGTAGTGAGGGACTTTGTCTGGAGTTTTTTTTTTTCTCCTATTTCAGAGGGATCTGGAACAAATTTAGACTGATTTTGCATGAGCAAGGCAGATCACCTAGTGTAAAATGACATAAATGATTTCAATGGATCTGGCCTGATCAKCTCTTATTTCTCATAACCAAGGACTTCCAAACTATCGGACATGTCATTTACATTTTTCCTAAGGGGCAAGTTTCTTATCAGTGATCACAGTTTATAAAGTCCTTTCAGGCCCTCTCCAAAAGCGTAGCTACATGACTGTAACAGGAGCTGAATTAAACACATAGTAGTAGAGGGATTTTGAATAAATTCATATGATTTTATAATGCAAAGAAATCCAGCAATCATTTTGGATTTGTCTATCRAAACAACAAGAGATTGGTGTTGCAGTGGCAGTGTGCATGCTTGTGTTTAGTGTAGAGTTTTTATGTTTTGATGCTCCATCATTCCAAAGCCCTGTTACGCTGCATACGGAGCTAAGTCATGAGTTCTTGCCCCTGGGAGATTAGAGTCCTTATCAGCTATTCCTGGGCATAAGCTGATTATTAATAAACCACTGCCCAAGATGGGCAATACCAACAAGGCAGGACAGCAAGGAGCTGCCGAGTGGCATCATGTTCRTGATAGTCTTGCCTGGGATTTGATGCTGATGCGAGTCAGAAACAAACACGGTGGCCACAGGACGGTGACTTTCCATTCCGGGCACCCCGATGCTTTGTGACTGATTTTTCCCTCTTCTCTGCTTCTAGCTCAGCCACTCTCCCATCGATGATCAAGTGTATTGAGGAAAACAATGGAGTTGACAAGAGGATCAGCAGGTTTATCCTTCCTATTGGGGCCACGGTGAACATGGATGGAGCTGCAATTTTTCAGTGCATGGCAACCGTGTTTATTGCTCAGCTGAACAATGTTGACCTCAACGCTGGGCAGATCTTCACCATTCTGTAAGTCACAACCACATCCCTCTGGACCCCAGACATGTTAAAGCCTGTGGTCTTTCTGCTAATAGCAGTTTGCATTCCACATCTCTGACCTAAAGCTTGCAAGCTGCTATGAAACATAATTACAGGGTGATTAAGGCATGGAGTCTTTTAAGCTTTATAAGATTTGCCAGAATCTTGATTTAATAAAAGGTGGAAGCTGGGAGGGGTAACTGATTTACGAACAGGCCTTGAGCTGTTTAAAACTTTTCCTCACATGGAATTCCTCTCCCTCCTTAAGGACCTCTCTTCTCTTGCCACCGAGCTGGGGAATTGTGGCCTGCTGCTCTGCCCAGAAAACTGCCCTGACTTCCCTTCTGGATGTCTTGGAAAATATGTCTGCTGGCTCCCCAGCTCCTTATGGATCMATTCCATGCTCATGCTTAACTCGCACAGTTCTTAACTTCTGCCTCTCCTATTTTGTATCACTAATTCCCCATTATCCCCCCTCTTAGTTGTCACACTTTGCCCCATCATCCCCGCCACCATCCTGCATTGGCAGGAAGGGATTTGCTTGGGAAGCAGAAGCTCTGCGTGTCCCCGCCACTGCACAGAGGATCCCCAGGGTGGAGAAAAGCGCGTTGCAAGTGTAGGAGGGAGCTCCGTGACCGGTGCTAACGGGCTTCACCGCTTGCCCTGCAGCGTGACAGCCACCGCGTCCAGCGTGGGCGCCGCGGGCATCCCGGCGGGYGGCGTCCTCACCATCGCCATCATCCTGGAGGCGATTGGACTTCCCACCAACGACCTCTCCTTGATCTTGGCGGTGGACTGGATCGTGTGAGTACCCTCGGCCGCACGTACCTGCTGCTGGGGGCCGTATTCGGCGCTCGACCTGGTGCAGCGTAGCCAGAGGAGCGGTACGGAATGAGAACCCACAAGGTGTGGCTGCCTGCAGGAAGGGAAGTGCGTGGCAGCTGATAGAGGACAATGGAGAGGGAGGTCCTTTCTCAGTCAGAGAAGTTTGCATGCTCAAATACCTCTCTGTTTGCATGCTAAAATACCTCTCTTGTTCTTCTACCCAGCCCTTATTGAAAGAGGTTTTCCCTGGCTTCAGTTGCCGTTGTAAGAATAAATAAAAATTTGTGCAGGAAGGTTAGAAAACTAGATGGACGCTAGGGGAAAGGGAAGGGAAAGGAAAATGAGCCTGAATAGTTAGGGAAAGCTTTCTGGGAGCCAGAGCTGTGAAGCCATCTCCAAAAGCTGCTCGTTGCTATTGTCTGAACAACAAAAGCCAGAGCAGGAAGCATCGGAGCGAAGTGCCCTCCGTGGGGACACAGAGGGACGCAGCAATTGTGCCACTGCGGGCAACGCAGCCAGAACTGCTGCTTGGAGCCACAGGCGGGTGCAAACACCTTCCCTTGCCCTCCTCTGGGAAAGGGCTGCGAGGTCAGAGCTTTGCCCAGTTTCTTCTCTCACCAATAACCATTTCCCTTCTTGCAGCAGGAGGAATTAGCCCTTGGCCAGTTTGGTCTGGAAGAATTTGTCCCATCACTCGGCTTGGTTATGTCCTTGTTTAAGCTTAAATTTAGGTTCTGTACCAGCACCTAGGAACCCGGGAAAGGGTCCCCAGGGTTTCTAACCCAGGAGAGAGTTAGAAAATTTGTTCTAGGTATTGGGGGCCCACCCCCAAGTGTAAATGCGACATGCAGGTGATTTCTTACTGCTGAAATGAGTGAATTTTGCTCCTCATACTGTGTTTTAATTCTCTTAAATTAAAAGGCTGCTCTCTTGCTATTATTTTTTAATCGTATCCAGGGAYCGAACCACCACAGTTGTGAACGTGGAAGGAGATGCCCTCGGAGCAGGTATCCTCCATTACCTGAACGAGAAGGACAAGAAAGAAAAAGAGCAGGAATTAAAGGAAGTCAAYGTGGAAGCCGTTCCCAACAGCAAGTCGGAGGGGGAGACGTCCCCGTTGGTAACTCACAAAAACCAAGCGCCCAGCACGAGCAGCACGGCGGACCCCGAGTCCAAGGAGTCGGTGTTGTGAGCTGGAGGCGCCCGTCGGCACGCGTCCTAGAGGGGACATGTCAACATCAACACACCTCGACGGCTGCGGTGCCACCAAGGKCTGGTGGCCCTTGGCAGCCTCCTCTTCCAGTCTGTTTTGGGACACGCTGGTCTGGGGAGGGCAGACGGGAGCGGGGAGGGCAGAGGGTGCTGAGAAAACACTTGCTTTATAATAATATTTTGGAAGTTCATATGTATACATATACATATGTGCCGCGCAGATGCACACATATATATGTATGCGAACGCAATGCCATGGAGACTTGGGGTTTAGCAAGAGTTAAACCYGTTCCTCAAGGCCTGTGTGGATAGGAGATGGGGAAGTAGTCTAACCCAGTAAGTGCTGATCGTAGAGGAAAATCAATAGGCTTTGTGTGCTGCTGCTTGGAGGGAAATATGGTCTAGAGACTCCAAAGCGGGTGGAAATGTTGCTTAGATTTAGTTTCTTGCCTGCAAACACTCGCTGGCAGCTACAGAAACAATAGGAAGCAACGTTTTCCCCCTACTTCCTTTCCTCTCCTGTTCTCGTGTACCATAAAACCAGCAAATGTATGCTGATAATTAGCTCTTTTTTTTTAGTTTCACTTTTGGATTAGTAGTTTATGGGGATCTGATCCTTGCTTCGCTGCCCTAGTTCATTGCAGCTCGTGGTGGTTTTCCTGCCTTTTGGTGAGTTACTCCCAAATTTTAGGACCAGACAAGATCTCAGTGACAATCAAAGACCATTTTTTCCTCCACTCTAATCAAGCAATTTAGCAAAAAAAAAAAAAAAAAAGAAAAGAAAAAAGATTCAGAGGAAACACAAATTTATTATTGTTAAAGTTGGCCCCTCTTGGGCCAACCTGGATCCAGCCCAGATCTGTCTGAAGGAGATTTGCCTGTGGCAGCATCAAGAACCCGAGTCAGTTCCCCTCATGGAAACACACATGCTCTTTGCTAGCACACCTTGTCCGGTCCGTGTTTATTTACCGTGAGTTAAATAACTCAGTCCAAACAAATTAAGTCATATCCCTTTCCCAGCACGCTTGAACTGGGGAGGGAAAAATTCCCTAGACACAACCTGGAGGGACTGATAACAGGAGAAGAAAGGTGGGTCTCTGACCCCCTGTAGTGGTCCCTGGGTGTTGGGGCAGCTGTATCCCTGTTCCCATTAGGAGCGTGCTCCTGCTTTAAGTGTTGTCCTTCTATCAGTAGGAATATCTCCAGTTTAGGAATGGTGGGTGGTGCTGGGCCAGGGTAGAGCTCAGTGGCAGATGGCTCTTGCTCCAGGCTGGCACAAATGCTCCTGGATTCTGACTCCACCTTATTTTTTTTTTCCTCCTTTATTACATACATCCTGAATTTGCACCCCAGACCTGATCCCGTGAAGCTCCTGTGCTTTCCTCTGGGCTTTTGGGGAAGCAGATAGTTACAAAACGAATGCTGTGCAAGTGCAAAGGTTTGCCTGGGCTTGGAACTCTTTTGACAAGTTTCCCCTTTTCTTTCTCCTCTCTTACTTCAGAGGAATCTGTCCTGGAAAGACGTCCAGTTGATGCTTATGCTCGTGGCCCTAGGAAGAGGCAGCTCCAGGTTTCATAGCAGCAGCAGCAGCCTTCATTTGCAAAGCAAATCTTCCCTGGTAGCAGAACCATTTCTTTCCTGGTAAAGGAAGAATTTTGCAAAAAAAAAAGGCACTCAGAATGAGATGTAGCCAGCTCTGAGGGAAAACCGTGTGCAGCCGGGCTATGCCAACAAGGTAGCAAAGGACTGGTCAGCTCCCTGCAGAACTGCAGGTGGAGTTTCCTTTWAACCAGTTTGTTTATGTCCATATCCACGAAATGTGGACGTTCCTTGGCTCATCTTAAAAATCTAGGCACATTCGGTATTTATTTTGGCATTTTCCCGCAGATCACGACCCACGGCAACCTCGCATTTCCTCCCGTTAGAATCGTCCCCTCGTCCCAACTCAGGAAACCAGAAGCGCGCTTTGTAGCTGGTCATAAATGTCAACAAATAGGAGATGTTTTGAGAAAAAAAACACTTTGATGTCTGAAGAAGCGGGTCTCAGCGGGACCCTTTTGTTTCTTTAAGCAGACATAATTATTCCRTGGTGCCCGAGGGTGCTGAGAACGGCTGCTGTTCCCGGGGGCTGTTTGGTCCCCATGTTTTGGCTCCCAGCGGGCGCCCGGCCCTTCGCGCCAGGCAGCGGGAGCACCGGAATGACACTTCCCACGAGGAATCCCAGCGGGGTTTTGGAGCGGAACATTAACCAATTTGGGCTTTTTTGCCCCCAGAAGGGCATTACTTGCAGGTAAAAGCTCTTGCCCTGGGGCTGCCCCGTTGTTTTGTCTTCCCTGTGGAGCTGCAGTTTGTGCATCATCCTTCTTGGCTATGAGGCTTCCTGACAGCACATTCCAGGGAATGGCAGAGTGAAACCGATACCCTCGGAGCTTTTTTTTTAGCATTATTTTCCAGTAGCAATGCAAAAGCACAGGGCCTTGCTAAAAAATGCTTCTCCCAGCTGCCTCCCATGGGTTGCCATGCGTTGCACCACTGTGAATGTCAAGGTGGTTTTAAGACGTAGTCCCACGTCRAGCTTGTTCCAGTGGGCAGGTTCAGAGAGGTCACCACGTTACTGTAGCTTGAGTTTAGCCAAGGAAATCTAACACTCCTTCTCCCATAGGTGCTGTAGGGCTTYTATGGACCATGAGTATTCAGGACCACTCTTCTTAATTGACATGAAACCTGCATTTTCACAATACCTCCGTTGTAGGCTTATAATGGTGCCAGTTTTACTCGTCGCAAGAGGTACTGAGAAGCTTTCATGGAAGCAGGGTAATTATTGCTAGTCAGAATTTGTCTTTTTTGTGTCATCTGTGTCACAAGATGCATTTCTTGTTGCCCTGTGATGTTACTGTCCTTAAGAAGGCCGTGCCACACCGTGGGCTCCGTGGGCTCTCCATCTGGCTTGTGCTTCTTGTTTTTGTTTTAAAAGCACAAATGTGCAACGTCATATTATACTCTCACGAACTGTAAAAGTGTTGGTACGTTCTGGCTGCCGTCGCAGCGCGGGTCCTCACGATAGCCCCGTGAAACTGGGAGGAGGTTTGCGAGCCCCTTCCAGCGGTYGAGCTCTGCAGGTAAGGCGGCTGCGAGCGAGCTCCGAAGGCTGTGGAAGGACGTGCGTTTTTCCCACCTGCATCGTGTTACACGGAGGGCTCCCTGCTCCTCCTGAGAGACTCAAAGTTGGCTGCGAAGGTGCTGAGCAGCAAGGCAGGCGCAGCCAGCGGTGCCGGCTCTGCTCTGAGCTCGTGAACCTGCTGCCACGTGGTCCTTCCAGCAGCGTTTCCTTCGCCTGGTGTGGGTTTGGCTTCTCCCAGCTTGCCTCCAGAACGGAAACCTCTTCCGTCAGTCGCCTTTTCTTGGAGGAGRAAGTAAATTCCATCTAGGAAATAACATTTTTCTGTTGGATTTTAGTCTTTGGAAGGGTGAAATCCTCTTCCTTCTGGGGTTCTCCCTAAGGGATCCAYGTCCCATTGGGGCACTGGGCTGCCATAGCCTTTCCTGCTTCCTTTCAGTTCCTCTTTTAGGTTTCTTGGGGGATTATATCTTGGGTCCAGTTCACACTAATGGAGTGAGTCACTTGGGTGAATTCACCYTCTTTCTTTCTCTTTTTAAGGGATGTTTTTCATATGTAATCTTGGATGTGGAATAACGCAAGGAAGCTCCAGTCACACCCTTTCATAGGCAGARCAGGTACTGGTGGCCTCTCCATCCTCTGTGCAGACTTTTGCTGCTCTGAAATGTGTCTTACGGTGCCGTCGTGGAGCTGTCTCTGCTGCACAGGTGAAAGGGGACGGAAAAGGAGCAGTGGATCCTACTGCTGTTATCCAGAACGGGAGAATGCAGATCCGGAGCCATCCTGAGGTCACGGAAAGCTCTCCTTAGGAAAGCAGACTGCAAAGAGCCTGTGCCCTGTCTTGTACTCTGCTTGTTTTGGGGGGCACGGGAATACGGGAGAGGAGGTAGGGTAAGTCCTGCTCGGAGCCGGGAATGGACGTGATCCATACGGCCATTCTCCCATGCGTGTGTTTTACAGCAAGAGAAATGAAAACTGAGGCTGCTGTTGGAGGCAGAGCTTCCTCCTTCGTGTCCCCAAGCCACAGGCCGTGGTGTCTTTGCAGGCTCCGTGYTCTAGGGCTTGTTTAAGGTACAAAAACACAGCTTTTTTTTTGGTGAAAACCAGGAGTGTTGGTTACACTGCTGCTCTGGGCTCTGCAGGCCTGTGGGCTGGATCCTCGCTCCCCATCCCCGGCTGGCACGGCACATTCCTGCGGGAAAACAGCCTCCCGCTGGGATCCACCCTCCTTTCCTGCGYCTCCCCCAAGCAGTGACCTCAGGTGGGAAGTCAGACAAGGACAAAAAGAGAAGGACGTGGCGGTTATCGAAGCAAACGTGCTGGGGAAGCCACGCTCGCTTGCTGGATATTTTAGGTCTTATTTTAGGCTCTTGATGAGTTTTCATCAGGCCATCCTTGGCTCCCACAGCGCCTGAGCACCTGCTAGCGCTCCTAACGCTCTTTGGGGCAGGTTTGTTCTCCCCCTGGGGTCTTTACAGACATTTACGTGGCCAATGGGCATCCGTGTGCAGGTGGGAAATGGAAAGGGTGTTTCCCGGAGTGACGTGGAGTCACCGGAGAGCCCGGGACAGACCTCATGCCTCTTGCAGCCAAGGCCATCATTAGCTAATGTCACCTGCCAACAAACCCAGTGCGTGGGGTAATACGAATGTACTTGAGTTTTGGTACCACGTTATTAGTGGTACAGTGGGACAGGGAGCATTTTACTGCTCAGGAATGAGACAGACTCAGCAGTGCGTTTTTGGAGGGCAGGGGAGAGGAGAAGTGTTGAAGTAGGAGAGTTACTTCCCCTTTACAATGGATTTTCTTACTAGAGAAGCTTGAAAACAAGGATCTCTTCTTTTTTGCTGAAGGTCCCAGTCTGCCTCGTGTCAGCAGCAATGCAGTGTCAATGAGGAAATGAGTTTGCAGCAGCAACGTGAYGTGAACGGTGAGGTTTAAAAGCTCACAGAGACCAGGAACTCAGTGTTAGATAATTCCCACAGTGTTTTTGGCCTGTTTCTCCTGATAACCACGCTGAGCAAACAACGTGCTGCTTTGCAAGCCTGTGTTTAGAGGCTGGCCTCAACCTGAACAG